TAAAAGTGGTCGTCAAAATTCATCAATACTCATTAACTGATGATTTCTATCTCCAACAACAACGAATTTCATGACCTCGTATTAATGTAGTAAGTGTAATATAATAATACAAGGTCATGCTCAAAATATCATCGGATAGAAGTGCAAAATAATTCATCGTTCATACACTTCAAAAGAAGCAATAGGAATATTTTTGTCTAACAAGCGTTTAGTTAGCCGAGTATGAGATTAATTAGACGAGAAGAGAGTAAACGAATTAAACAAGCCAACATTATTTCTTTACTACGTGTTTAATATACGCTTGTACAGCGCTTCCGAGTGGAAATACGAGAGAAATCTCCTTATAATAATTCGTAACATCAGTCAACAAAATACACTTCTCGGTTAAGATGTCGAGAAATTGATAGTTGAAACGACGAGAAGTTGATGATTTGTAGGAAACAAATTTTAGCTCATTAAGAGAAAAAAAGTTGCGGTAGATATTGGTATTTTCGTTACATTGTCAATTCAAAAGAGAAAAATCATGAGTGCAGATCCTGATAGATCTTAAAAGATTTCTGAAGTTTCCTTTCAGATATTCAAGAAACTTGACCTTCAAGGTTTCAATCTGACTTGCAGTTCATGACTTTCAGCAATCAGAAACTGTTCCAGATCTTCGCACAAATATAGCATTACATGTTGAATTATCACAACCATCTTTAATGATTTGCTCCTTTTTTTTCTATTGACGATTGAAGATCTCATTTTTCTCGTTGTATTTTAGCTCAAAAAAGCTTATGAAAAATTGTAGTCTAACGACATATCAAAACCATAGCTCAAAAATTTTATTTTTGAGAAAATGTACTCTATGTCCAAAAAGAAAAACATTTTTTTTCTAGACAAAGGTTCATTCAGAGTTTGAACATCGACTGCGATGCGATACTCAATCGACCAATAGCGGTTGACGAGGATAACTTTACCTGAATATTTCACTGCATGTTCCTGCCGTGTGCACGTACAGAGTAGGAGAATATGACAAGATATTTCGAGAAAGTGTTCAGATAGCTAGTAAAAAAAGTACAATATCCTGATCGGGATATAGAATAGGAACCTCGAGAATTATTTAAAAGAGGTTACTGACCGGAAAAAAGATTTAGTCACAAGGAAAAAAGGATCTGATGCAGTTTTTACGCTCTTTTCGACGGTATGGTCAAATCTTTCCGTGAACATCATCATTTTTTTGCTAATGAATTTTACTTAAAAAATCGAATTTATATCCCGATTGGGATATATGTATTTTGACTATATACCGATCGGGATATATGTTGGTACAAAACGGGATATATATCCCGATCGAGATGAGCATGAGACTCTACTACAATTAGAAACTGTTTTACCATTCATTACAGAACGGTTTCCGATCCTAGACGATTAATTTAAAACTTACCACTATAATTGAAGAACCAGAAGAGCTAGAGAGTTTCCGGTTTCACCATGTTGTAGAAGGGACCTTACGCTGTTGATTTCTACATGGTGAACTTTTAGACTCGACTTCTCCGGCAGTGTCTCTGGCGGAACGTTAATGAAGAAGCCACAGGATCATGATATCCGCTAGCCATCACTAGCTTCGGAATATTGTTGAAGATAGTTTAGAGTGTCCTCTACAAAACTACGCAAGGCCCACCTATATAGTTATCATCTTTGTTGGTGAGGTGCATATTTGTTGAGTTCTATCCAATTTCTGATCTATCAGGTCTGACAATCACAAAAATGATATCAACATAAGTTATCAATCACGCTAAACCGCCTGATAATATTTTTTCCTCATAGAATTAAAGGAAGAGGCTGAAGAGGCAGTTAAGAAAAGTATCTGTCTTCGATTTACCGCGTAACACGAAAATGCTACAGCATGTTTCTTGACCGAACTGATGCCAAAAACTGTCTTCTGTTGGTCTTACATACTTCATCTCAGGCTATAGATTACTGAAACGTTCGCAGTTCAACAAGATGTGTGTAAATCGTTTAGTTGTTCGAGAAATAAGGCTATCAGAGGTCTCCGGGAAACCTAATTCACCTTAATAAGGTTGAAGATTTTCTAAACAGACTTCTCATTTGTTACTCTCTCAATTAAAACTTATGTATTCGCTCAATTCCTGAATACTTGAATTCCAAGAATTGCTCAAACCGATTCGATGCAAATTAAAAGAATTTTTGACTTTTTAGAATTCAAGAAGTTCACAAAAAGTCACATTTTCAGTTTTTGAATTTTTATATTCTGAAAAAACTAAAAAGTGTCTGTGAATTGTTGAATTCTTGAAAGTTTGATGTTTATTTCTCTATTCTTGAATTCCTGAATTGTTGAATCTTTCTCGAATTGTAAAAAGATGAATTCAATCTCTGAATTCATGTTCTGAATTCTCAATTTTTGAAATTACAAAAATTGAAAAAACACTCGATACTAATTCTTGAATTCTTTCTGCTAATCTTGAGAATTTTATTAATACAGAATTCTAGTTTAGTTTAGTTTAAAGTTTAAACTTTAAACTTTATTCATTTAGAGAATTCTATGAACTCCGCTGCCTCTCACTCATCTTCCGATGAACCTGCATTACAGATCACCCATGATGGAGGCCAATATTCATCTCGACAGTACTGTTGTTCGATGTGAGGTGAGGGTCTGTCGTTCGATAAGGAAGAATAAAGCGGTGAGAAGTGCTGATTTTCAAAGCTGTGTTTTACTTCGAAAGGTGACCAGCAATTAGCTCATTACCTTCCGTTATATTTAAAGAAATAGCAACGAGAGAATCTGCGAGCCATTAAGATGACTATCGAAATTATTATTTAACAATTTTTCTATAAACCAATTCACATTTTGAGACCTTCCCAAGTATCAAGACAAATTTATTGTAAGTACATACTGATAGTTCAGCCAAGTATAGACCAAGTTTATCCTTTGTTAAGTTTACCAACCTTTTTAAAAAACGAGCGAAAAATTTTGAAGTGACTGTTATGAATGTTGACATTGACGTCAAAGAGTTAATTTTTGAATAAGTACTTTTTCTTCGTACCAACTTTATTTTTATTATATTCCAAACGTTTCGATTGAGAGTTCAATCTTCCTCAGTGGATACAAACATTAATTAAATTAATTAAAATTACATAAACAAAAACAAATCTGAACAGAAAACTTCAACATAGGGATATTCTTCCCCTTTTTTAATTTTATATAATCTATATACAGACGATAATAGAAGGAATAGAAGGAAGTTTAAGTTATTTTATTATCGTCTGTATATAGATTATATAAAATTAAAAAAGGGGAAGAATATCCCTATGTTGAAGTTTTCTGTTCAAATTTGTTTTTGTTTATGTAATTTTAATTAATTTAATTAATGTTTGTATCCACTGATGAAGATTGAACTCTCAATCGAAACGTTTGGAATATAATAAAAATAAAGTTGGTACGAAGAAAAAGTACTTATTCAAAAATTCAAAAATTCAAAAATAGGATCTAACTTCGTATTCATATCGACACTTCAAAAATGAATGTATCTATATGCCATTTAACAGAATGATTATATTCACATATTTTCTCATGTTTAAACTCTTTGTGAATAAAATTTAATAAACTATTGAAACACAAAAATAATTAAACCTGTCAATGTATTATCGATCGGGGCTAAATTCGTCTCATAGATATCTTACTACTTTCTACTCATCGGTTTTTGAGTAAATTCTATAAAATTTATACAATGATTAGTACTCGCTTAGACATAAAGCTTTAAGTCGTTAGCTATCATGATTTATGAGTTCCATAGATGCTCTTACTTTTACAGAGTATTGCAATTTTTAAATAACCATTAAGTCATCATTATAAATAGTAGAAATGAGTATGTAGTTTCACATAGCTCTGTGCATTATATAAGAGTTCTTATAGTAGTTCAAGTATGGTTGAGAGACTAAGTAAAACAATTTATTCAACCGAATGAATTGTTTAACAAATGGAATTGATTGACAATTGCTTTTTTTTATGTAGTTCAATAATAGTTCCGATATAAACTCTATGTAATATATTATGAGGATTAGTAAATGATAAATGAATTATAAAAACCATCACATGTTACAGTAACGGTCTCATCTTATTTCAATACACTGAGTCACGATATATCGTGAGAAGATTAGATGAATGTATAAGACAATAGAAGATGAGTTAATAACATACAAATTTTCACTGATAAAAGTTGAGCGTAAACCATTTTAATACTCACTTTTACCGTACACTACTATCAGTGTCAAAGTTCACTTAGATCGATTTAATTCAGACATAAGTTATCAAAAAGATACTGATAGGTACATTTTTTTATAGATTGATATCTACCTTGATGATCAGAATTTAGGAAAAGATCATACAATGAGATTTATTTCATTAACAAAATGGCGCAACAAGGTTTGTATTCTATATATGAAATATCGATGATAATGTTAATACATTTTTGTTTAATTTAGATGCCACCTATGTATTTATCGTATACCTCAACATCACAATAATATAGTACAACGACACTTGTATCTTATCTGTTTTTATTTATTAAATTTTTTGTGTTCACTCTTTTGTAAAAAAAAAATATTGATTTTTTGTACATAGTACTTAGCAGAAAAATAAACCGTCATTTAGAATGGATCATGCATATCATTGAGACTGGGGTATACGTTTCTCGATTTTGGGTTAAAAAAATGCAAAACGTCAACAAACACTAATTGTATCAAGATTTTCTGTTTTTTTTCATAGCGAAGAGCTATAAGTCTCAAAGTCTATTAATGGACATAACGATGTTAAAATTTTGTCTGTTTTCAAAACATTGTTAAACATTCTATTTCTGAAAAATAGAATTTATACAATGTTCTATTGAACAGGATTAGTAATGGAACAATAACTTCAGTCTTAACAACTTTCTTATGATAAGTATGATTACTATTTACCATCTTATTTTAGTATATGGTCCATAATTATCAGATAGATTTCAGGCTGCTGCATCTATCCAGAATAAATCTTTTGGAAATTGTTTAGCTAATATTTCACGTTTGTGTCTTAATTGTTCAAGTTTTAATGCATTTCTATCCGATTGCCAATGTCCATTGCTATCTTGAAGAGAAGAATTCATAGATACAATACTTTTGACATTATTTTCATTCAATTTTTTTGTACGATATGTTTCCGAAAAGACTGTCATTAATCGTCGAAATCTTTTATCGTGTACAGCAGACGTTTGTTTGTCCATGGTTTGCTTTGTTGCTAGTCGTGGTGTGTCCAGTAAATTGTCCTCCAGTGAATTAAATATCTGGGAGACTGCTGTTAATTCGTTTGTTGTTTTTCTCGATAATCGTCCAAATGGTAGTAATCGTCGACTTGAACGTGGCATTGCTAATTGATTTAATTTATCTTTTGATATTACCGTTTTATTCCTCGATGAAGTTGGTCGTAATTGTTTAGGGTTAGGAAAAATTATTGGTTTTTGTATTTTCTGCTGTATAATAGGTTCAACTGGTTTCTGCAAAGTTTCATCCGTCATCACGGAACTATGTACATCTTGTATTTTACTCATTTCTGATTCGGATTCAAATTTTGTTAAACCGTCATTATTTCGTTCATTGTAGTTAATACTAGCGCTACGTAATGTTTTTGTTAAAAATGTGGTTTGTGCTACATTCAATGTTTTATCATTTTTTGATTTATTACCAAGAGTTGTTGTTGCTCGAATGGATGTTTGATGTTTTGAATGTGGTGTTTTGTCAAATGTTGGATCAGATACTTGAACGAATTTACGAGAAGATGATCGAGAAGAATTTGATATTAATGTTTCGGATCGAGTAGTGTAATTACTTAACATTGGAGTAATTCCATTTTTAAGATCGATAGACAATTCTTCTATGTGACTGAAATAATGAAAAAAGATTCAGGTTTTTTATATGTTTCTATCTTTAACCCTTTGAGTACCACTGCTCAACTATGATAGCTAGGGATTTCTAATTTTGTGTGGTCATAGCTCTTATCGAATGCTGATCACCCACCAAGTTTGAGCCTCTTTTACTAGATGGTTCGCGAGATGTAAGCGTTTCATTTCTTTTCCGTAAAATGCTAACAACTCCAGATTCAAGAGAAGTTTGAAAGCTTTTCCTTTTTACCAAAATGCCGCACTGTCCCTCCTCTGTCTATGATATGAATTTGAACTGTTAGCGCTCAATAGTTATTGTAATATAGCTATTTTACGATCGAGGATCACTTTTGAAGTTTGAAACCCTCTTCCAAAAAAATTCATAACTCAACCTAGGAATATTATTTTCACTTTAAAATTGCACCAGATACTCTAAAATGTCTTTAGATTATTCACATTAAGTATGAGAGTTAACTAGTTAACTAGTTCATATTTAACTCCCATTTTCATTTTCGAGAAAACAAGATACGAGGAGCTCATTTTCTAATTTGCTCTGCCTGTAAAAAGTCAAAAAATGTACGAATATTATTTAATACCACTACTCGTTTCACACTCGACTTCCAATGTTGAATATTAAACTTACGCTTTTAGACCCGGCATGGATTTTTCTGCTTTTGCTTGTTGTTTTTTTAAAAATAATTTCTTGTCAAAATCATTTTTAAGTATTACCCGATATCGATCATACGACATATTCAACACATCTGATAAAAATTGTCGACTTAATATAACATTTTGTCTGGTATCACTTGGTACTACCGGTGAATTTTCTGTTAGTTGACGAATCGTAACATCTTTTAACATCCAACTCTTAACTTCATCTGGAGTTTGTCTTTGAAAATGGCTATTCATTAGTTTAGTTTATATATAACAAAGCAAAAAAACGATAAGAGAGCTTACGGTCACCATAAATGGCTTCTAGGCGATATAAAGTTTAATTTTGTATGAAATACCGTCGGTATTATTTGTATCGCTAATTTCAAAAACATGTTTAATGATAAAAGAACTTTCATAGTTAACTGACATAATAAAAAAATTCAAAAAAAAAAAGTGATGCTATTATCCTCTTAAATTCTTTTTTAAAGATTTTTTTAATCGATTGAGTATGTTATTCTAAAATGATCAAGTTGGTTGTTTTTGTGATTAAAAGTAGTTTATTTATTTTTCATCATTTTTTAAGTTGTTTAAGAGCAAACAAAGTACACAAAAACAAATCGTCTATTGTTGTCCATAAATATCAGCTTAAAAAAAAGAACAGAAATAAACTTTCATTCTGTTAATGATGCGAACGAAGTGTTTATACTTTTATCATGTTTCAAATGTTCGCTGGATGCTGATAACAATAAATATAATGGCCTCTTGTTGATCTAACTCATTTCTGTCTGAATTGAATTATTTTGCGTAAACGCGTGGAACAATACCTTTTGTTTGAACTAAACATTTCAAGACTGAGATAATTTCAAACGCTAGCAGAGGAAAGTTTTTTTTTCTCGAAAACACTTCGTCTATCTATATGAGTCGTCCATGACTTCTCAATCAGCATTCAGTGAACATTGACAACATGATAAAAGTATAAATACTTCTTTCTCCTTAATTCTCGAAAAACACAAAGAAACTATTACAAAAAGATTCGCTTCTAACTGTTAGTAGAAGAATTGGAGAATGATAAAAGAACTAATGTCTTAAGAAAGTAAAGATTCCTCGAATTCAACATTAATTAAAGTTTGATAAGTGACTTGAAATCAGAGTGCTTGTATTCAACTTTAATAAATCAAAGTTTAATAGATGGTTTCCTAGCACATTTCTTTGCGAAAGTGGCTTACTGAGAGTTCAACCTCTTACAAACGGTTAACATTGTCATTCGTTCTTCAAATTATTGTCGCTAAAAAACAATAGAATGGGTTCGAATGTTTCGTCAATAACGTTTGACAGGAAAGTGGTAGATGCTTGCAGTCTTCACCAATTAGAACCTAAGATCTGACTGCATCGTTTCATCATGAAAGTCATTTTCAAAATCTTTTTGTAAAGTAGGTTTCTCAGAGAATCTTTGGGAAACTACATCATAGCTCAAAAACTCGAAATACAAATGGTTTGATTTTTTATCATGGATGGATAGTCCAAAGCGTCCTCTTCAAAATGGGATTCAAGCGAGACTCTCGTCTTCGATCGTTTAGGTCTGGCATCGGATTTCCTAGGAGTTCCAGACCTGTTTTTTTTTCACATGTTAGAATCACAGAAATGACTCTAGACGGGGCTTATCGACCACGCTGAATCTCATAGCAGCATTTGTTTTTAGAAAGTGTTCAAAGATCTGCTGAAAACTGAGATTTCAAGATTGTTTTCACCTACTATTAAAAAGTTTACAATTCACTCAGAGAACAATAGAACGAGCTCAGAACTTCAAGATATGGCTAAATTTGTCTGATAAACCTGATTATATCATCGAAAAAGTCGAAAACCATATTTTTACTCAAACGTTTTCCAGAAATCCCTTCGTAAAACCATCCAGTTTTATAAAACTGTTTTTCTAAGTTTCTTATAACTACGATTTAGAATAGCACAAATACCAAGGGGGAAAAAGCGTTTTGGAATAGTATAGAATGGTACGGAATGGGTTGGAATGGGCCATTCCAGGCCATTCCATACCATTCCAAAATGGTCAAAAAATGTTTGGAATGGTACGGAATAGCCTGGAATGGCCCATTCCGGCCCATTCCAGCCCTTTCCCCCTTGACAAATACTCTACATTCTGAAGTTTGAGCTCGTCCTGTTGTTCTTTGAGTGAATTGTAAATTTTTTAATAGTTTTCAGGCTGTTTTCACCTAATATTAAAAAATTTACTATTCACTTAAAAAACATCAGAACGAGTTCAAAACTTTAAAATATAGAATATTTAAGCTATTCTATATCCTGTTCATAGGAGATCTCGAAATAAATTTTAAAAAACCCTAAGGTTTTCCAACAGGGTTTCTGAAAAATCTATTAACAAAAATATGCTTTTAGATTTCTTCGATCCTACAATCACGTTTAGCGAACAACATTAATCATATCCTGAGATTTTGAACTCGTTCTGATGTTTATTAAGCGAATAGTAAATCTTTTAATATTAGGTGAAAACAGCCTGAAAACCCTATTTTCTTAAAACCGGCTTTTCAATAAATTTTTAAAACTTTTTCTAAAAATAAATATTGCCGCGAGGCTCAGCATGGTCGATTATCCATAGTCCATCCATCTTTAAGGCTACCAAGAGTCACCGGGTCCCAGTCCTGGGACTCGTCGGAAATTCGATACAACGCCCGAACCACAGAAAATCAAGATCTCACTTTACTCCCATTTTGAAGAGAACACCTCGGGCTATTAGTCCATGAATAAAAATCAATACATTCCTATGTGGAGTTCGGCAAACTCAAGCTAGTTTTCCAAAGATCCTCTGGAAAGCCGACTTCGAAAATTTTGTCGAAAATCAGTTTTGCTTGTGAAAAAATAGTCTCAAGTCTTGGCTTTTGAATGGTGAAAATCGCATCGCTCTAGCACTTTTCTTTGTTGTAATATTAGACAAACAGTCACGCGCCAGCTTTTTCTTTACAGACAGTAGGGAGTTTTCATTTTATTTCATATTTTCTTACGAAAAAATAAATATTTTTTAGTATTTTTTTATTTTTCAGAAAAATAGGACAAAATCAAGGTTTTTTTGAGTATAAAACTTCAACTCATTCTCCTTCGAAGGTACCAAAGGAGTTTCACAAAACAATCACATACGATCTGTAGAGGACGTTTTGGATTTTCTTTTGGTAAAAAGTTTCGAAAAGTCAAGTCTTCCAAAGAAAACGCTTATTTTACACTCATAAGTCTGTGATACATTTCGAAAGTTTCAAAAATAATCTAATTTAGTCAGATGGCCATGGTATCAAACAGAATGAACCAATGTGAGCCAAAAATAGAACTAAAGAATGGCATTAAGACAACTAAAAATTTCTCAAAGGGCAGCAGGTTGTCAAAAACTTGTTTGCTTGACAAAATGTTGTTCCAGACACCCAATGTTTTAGACAAATAGTGCATTTTGTAGAGAATTTAATTCTCTATTGAATGGCGTGGCTTTTAATTATGTCAAAAATTTAAGAAAAGCCAAGTCGTCGCAGAGTTAAACAAAACAGCGAGAAAAAGATTTCAGCGAGTTAGGAGAAAAATTAATGAGTTAAGGCATGCCAAACTGATCACTAGTAGTTTATTACTATTGCTGCTATAATAGTCAAATTACAACTTGAAGTGAATGAAAAAGGACGTTTCGCTGCGTCATTTAGTTCTTTCCAAATTGATTACATGACTACCATGCTAATAAGTATAAACTTGAAATATTCCTTGAAGATTGTCAGAGGTTTTCTTAATATTTTGTTTTTGTCGAACCATATGAAATTAGGAAACTAAGTTGCATCAAAACTATGGATGTAACAGCTTGTTCACAAAAGTTTATTTAGTGAACATTCAATCGACACGATTATTAAACAACAAATACTCTATTAACGATTTTTCTCGTTGTTTCTCAGTTTACGTTTACAGTAGAATTTCTTGATGCGAATGATTTTCTTCTATAACGGGTCTTTCATTTTTAACGGTTATTGCAATTTCTATCCGTCGAGCATCGTGAAACATAAGTTCTAGCCAACAATGTTTTCTGGTATATAAGTAAACCATAACGCACAGTTTATACGAAACAGTTAACTTCTGTCCTCTTTCAACTGAATACAAAAGCTCAAATTCCTTGATAAAGGATAAAAAATTGATGTTTGGTTCTTGATCGTCAACGTCGTCTTTTCGCTTGTCAGAAATTATGTTTTAGAGAAGGACCGGATAGTAACCATAGAATGGTTGTACCGAACCAAGCTTTTGTATGACTTCTACAGCGACTTTTTTGATTTTTCGTTGGGACTTGACATCGCTGCATCAACTAACATATTAATGGCAGAGGTGTCCTTCAAACACAAGTAGAATGATATAAATAAATCAACAATATTTTTCCTTTTCAATAAGCTCGTCCGATTAATTTAGTAAGCAATTGTGATAATTTTGGACTTTTGCTTAAACATTTAAATACTTCGGTATATCATACTCATCATCTTCAATTAACTTAATAATTTCTTCGAACTTACCTGCGGGATCTGATCCTGTATAATTCCAAAGTGTGCTTAAAATAGTTACTCTTATTTCCTTGTTTTGTTCACTGTGAAGAATATGGCGTAATCGATGAACAAAGGTTTCATCAGCTTGTAATTCACGAATAACTTGACCTACTTTAGCGAGTAACTTTTCACAATCATTGCGAAGCATGGTAAACAATTTATCTACAATTTCAGAGCAAATATGGCCTAATCTGATCTTATATACAACATTGAAGCGTGAAATTATTTTCATCTAATTCATCATATAAGACTCGTATCATGTAATATCTGTTAGTAGCGGAGGAGTATAGACTGACAGCACCATCAATAAAAACTTGTTGAACATCGAAGAAATATTTCATTGATACTTTTAGTGCTTGGGATCCATCCAGTAGTGCTTTTAAGCAGGAATACGATTCCATCGTACTTAGTATCAATTGGTGTAGGTCGTATAGTACAACTTGATGAACAAACTCACTATCATTACATAGTTCCTCTGTCATTGGAGGAAAGCCGTCTGCTTCATCGATTAATACATCAAAACTTTTCATAGCCCCAAATAGATGTTGCCGCACATCAACATTCGATTCCCCATAATAAAAAGTCAACAATTCCTGTATAGCATCGGTTTTTAACACGAGTATTTTCATACTCATCACTCTTAACGATATCTTTTAGTCTACTGATGGTTGAGGAGACTATCGATTCGGTTTGTATTAATTGACGATACGGAATTAACAAATTAGCCTTATCCAGTAGGTTATCTAGAGTTTACAGGACCTCAGATGTAATATATGAATTGTCGATTTCTCCAATAACTATTTGCAAAAAATAGCAAAGATTAGAATCTTTTAGAATATGTAAGTAGTTGTTCTGAAAGTGTACTCTATTGTGGATAGAAAGTCTAATGTTTGAATAACCAATCTTGATAGGCAATCATACTTTAATAATCATGTAAATTGTCTCAAAAATGGTTCGTGTTAATGACTGCTGAAAGGCATCGTATAGTTCTCAATGCTTTCTCTTGTAACATTTTAATATCTTTTTAATATTTTAATATCTTTTTCCACTCTACAGAAGTACAAAAAAGGAATAACAAAAAAAAAATAAACAAACATTTATTTCCGAAAACTGTTAGATTTATACAGGAAAGAAACGACGAAAATACTGTAAAAAAAATAACATAGCGAAGTAACATGCACCATCAAAATAATCATAAATATTTTTCTCGTTAACTTTTAGTTAACATCGCCAGTGATTCAGTTACGGAAGTATCTTTTGATTCACTTGAATTTATAATTACTTCATCACTTTTGATATCTTTTCTCAAACGAGAAAACGATAGTCGGTCTCTATCAAAACGTAGTTGAAACTTTCCCAATTCACCATCGAAACGATTTTTACCTACCTGAAAAAGAGCATTAATGAGATTAGACCATGTTTGTTTAGTACTAATCGTCAATGACATCATCTATTTAATATTGTTCTTACTTGTAAATATTTCATATAACCGGTTGCATTTGGTAACTTTCGATTTTGTATTATTAATATATTATCTGACTCTTGTGATGCTTTAGCAGTTCCAAATATCGATGAAATGGCTAATTCTTCTTCTTCAGCTTCCTACAAAAAAAAAAGCCCACAAAACAGATGAATTGATCAGTTGAAACGATCGATAAATTTACTTTTCTTGGATGAATAACTAAAGTAACATGACATTTATGATTTGTTGCAAATTTTCGAAATTGATGCACTAACGTATCTTGCTTATAGAATCTAAACTGATTTTTTTGAAACATTAGCCATCAGAGACAAAATTTTACTTGTTTACCTATCCATGTTTAAAAAATCCATACCCAACATAAATTGTAAATTATCAATAACAACATGTTCTATATTATGAATTGTGACTGCATTTGCCATTGTCTATTCAACACAAATTTTTTTAGTCAAAAAATGAATTTATTATTGAAGCTTTTTTTCTACTATTTATTCCACAAACACAAAATTTTTACCTCAATAACTTTGTCTATATTTTCTTGTCCATGGAATGTCATAAAATACATAGGTAATTGCTCAAACAAATTTGCATATTGTTCAAATACATGCAAATTTTTTGACAAATTAAGTCTGCAAAATGATTAAAGTATAAAGAATAGCAAAAAAAGTATAAAAAATTATAATAGCTCAAATAATCAGTTGAAAATTATGGAAAAGTGTATACATACCCAGAATATTGTGTCAACATTATTTTTGCTAAACGATGCGCTTGTATTTCAAAACTACCGAATAATGTTGAAACCTTGAGAAAAACAGAAAATAAATGAACAGAAAGATTTTTTCAGTATTTTATATACCCCTTGCATACACAGATCGAGGGAATATTCACTGAGAAATGTTGTTTTCCCAGAGCCAGTCGGCCCAGTAAGAACAGTTAATTCACCCCTACGATGCCCTTTAAGAATTTGTGTTAATTGTGGAAATCGTTGCCACTGAAAAGAACAAAACATCATCATAGACAGTTTTTCCTTAATTTATATAACTCTTTTCTCATAATTCTTGCAAATGGTGCAGTTATTATTATATTACCTGAATACCGGCAAGTTTAGTGGCATGCATCATTTCAGCTAAAACTTCTTCTCTCAATGATTTGAATTCTTGAATACATTTATTAATAACAGCAAAACTGTCTTTGACTATTGATCGTACGTTTTCTCCGTTTTTGAATGCTGTTTGTGCACTGACTGGATGACTAAAAGCAAAAATATAATATTAAAGTGATTAGTGAAAATTAAAGTAAAACTTCTTTTATTACCTAACAATATAGCAACGATGAGGATTTAGTATCGTCGCTAAACGAAATGCCAATACTTTTTCTGTACACCATATTTGTAATTTTCTCAAATTTTCGAGTAGAACAATTGTCTTAAAAGATAGAAAAAATTGAATTACTTATGTCAAACGGTAGTCAACATACCTGTATAGATAATTTAGAATTTGGTAAGACAATAGCAGCTTTTCCCGTTATTTCGTACAGACAAAGTGCGTCCCAAATATTATCAACAATAATTGCTTCGGAATTTCGTTGAGTTAAAATATTTAAACCAAATGGAGTATTTAATTTTCTACATAAAAACAAAAAAACGGAATATTTCTGGATGAAGCTGGAAGTTGCTAAAGACTTCTTCACAGTTGTCGTTGAGACTTTTATATTCGAATCAGCAGTTAATGTTTCGTTTATTACAGTGAAATAAAAGAAGGGAATATACGATAAGTTTCAAACGTTGTTCTCTTACTGCTGAGTCACATTGGAGGCATCCAACTGAACAATTCCAATTAATGATACACGATCAGCATCAAATAGTGGTGCTATCAATTTGTCTTCATATAATTTAATACCATATTTATGAAGTGAGGCAATAGATAACACATGATCCTAGAGAATAATAATAGACGGTATTGATTATATACAAAATTATTTATCAATAATACTTACAACAAAACCATAATTAGCCAAAATAGCATGAAGATCATCGTCTTTTTGGAGTTCTGTTAAAATTTTTGCTTTCTTCCATATTTCATTTAAATCATCAGGTAATACATGCTTTAGTTTTTCTTTCGGACATGTTTTTCTAGAAATAAAATCACTGTTTTAGTTTGTACAATGTGCGTAAATACTTCTTTTCTTACCTGATTTTAATAGATTCAAGTTGATTTTGAAAATCTTCCCAACTACCTCTTGATAAACACTTCGAACAAAAAAATTCGCCTTGAAAGAAAAATAGTTGTGATTACAGATTAATATACTATAGCGATATTTACCTTTCACTTTGCTGATATGTATTATGCCCGAATCTTTCTTCAAACTTGTACAACAATAACCTAAGATAGATGGAACAAAGATTAATCAAACATTCATATAGCTACTTATTTTTGTTTACATACATTTTATGCATGTCCATGTTTCATCAAATGATGTTGATGTTTTTCTTAGATATTCTTTTATTTCGATTGTTCTATCCAGAATAGTGCTAAATGATGTTAACGTGTCATTTTTTGTTGTTAGCTTTTTTATTTGAGATTGAGCTAGAATGAAATTACTGTCATTACTTGAGTGATTTACATTCTGTTGTTTGTTCATGTAATATTGAGCAAAAGGGTTCAGTACGCTACTGGCAATTTTAGATCTTAATGAAGCAACGTACATGAACTATCATTTGAACAAAAAAATTCTAAAATAAAACAGAACATATTGAAAATTGGAGATGGATATCATAGATTATTTTTTATACTAAAGTATACTGATTATCAATCAAATTATGCGGAAAGAATCGTCGTCATTAACTGAAAAGAATAAAAAAATTCACACTACTTAACTTGTTCCTAAATTTGATGAAAATCTTAAACTACTTTGTCAAACCGAGTATAAAACCTATGCTACGGCGCCGTTTCTTGCAGAGAAAGCTGAAAAGGTTTTATATTCATTGTACCAAGTAACATCTGTTTTATATTCAATATAAAAGTAAATAATTAGGCACTATCAATTAATCGCAGTTAAAAAAAAACGGCAATCAACCACGATTAACTGGCTTTTTTTACCGATGTGATAAACATGCGTCCTTTCTAAAGTCGATTTAGGAACTAAATTAAATAAATTTGTGTAATAGAAAACTGTTAAAAAATTATGAATAAAATGATGTAAAATTTGAATAGTTTAATTGCCATCATATGTCCAAAGTCAATTTCTTTGTCACCAATCGTGCAACACTTTCGCTCTAGGACTCGCGAAGTACGACGCGATTTTCCACGTTTAACATACCAGAAGCGCTTGTCATTTTTGGATATTTCACCGCAGTCACTATTTTTTTACAGTTTTTCATCTACTAAGCCGCCCTGTTCTTACCATAATCGCGATCGAATCATGAACTCACGACACAAGATCTACGTTAAGCATGACGAAATTTTCCTAGCGCGACTCTTCTCTGTTTCTATTTTTTCATAAACAAAATTTGACAACTGAAGCCAAAATTAAGGGTAACATTCAACGACTTGAGTAAGATGTGACAAAACTTAAAAATATTGACTTTTTAGCGATCATACCGTAAGTTTCGCGAATATAACGCGATGGTGGTTCTCGCGCTGCGAATAAGCTAAGAGAGTTGACTTGGGCTGATTTGCCATTCGAGTTTTTGATGGTCGAAAGCTTTTTTAAATTGATTATTTTCCTTAGCCGACTCTCCGTCCTGGGCAAAAACCCATTAGATCTTCTCAGGCCTCCTACTGCCTTTCCAAAATTATCCCGAGAAAATTCTACGGAAGTCACACATATGTGAAAACTTTCATATTGTAAAAAAATCTCTCAGGATTCTTGTTAATGAATAAATAGCATATATCTCTAGTAGTTAAAAAAGTCTACTAATCAGATTTTTGCCTAGGAACTCTTTCCTTCTTCAAAAAGCAGAAGCCATCCTTATTTACAACGACCTCTATGGGCTCCACATATTGGTGTACTCATATTAACCAATGGTGGAACAATTATGTATAGTAAGCTATTAAGGTTTTTTCGAATGATAGAAGCTTGGATGAATCGCTTCTTTGCGTTAATATAACAGCAGTCGAAGTGTATGTAGCATTTTCGAAAGTAAAAAAGTTTATTTAAACGCTAAGAGTAAATTCGCGAGCTGAAAAAAGAATTCCGCATTAAAATTTCTCTCTTTATTCAACTTTTAAACAGGGAGAGATTTGCCGCTTGATTTGATCGTATGCGTTGGAGTTAGCATTTAGGAGATAACTACACCGTGGCAAATTCAAATAGACTCAATTTTTTTTAGCGAAATAAGTAGAAAAAGCTCATCGAAGAACTGAATTTCAATAATTTCGTTTAGGTAGTTTTTTCCATTCTATTATCAAAGTTCACAATGACGGAATTATCGACCACGCTACGGAACATGAAATTTATGCAACGCAGTGGTAGCAGTAGTAAGAAACAAAAAGCAAAATTAGCTACCAATCAACAACAACAACAAACATCTTCACAAATTACAAAATCAGATTATAATGCATCAGTCGATTTTATAGCGGATCATCCAGGATGTTGGCGTTTATTAGAAAACGAAGCAGTCGATAAAGATCTTGTCTCTAATGATCAACAATCTAATGAAATAAAACATCCAACAATAATTTATAAATCTAGTGTATTCTCGATAAACAATCACAGTTATACACGTTTATCATTCCAGAATTATAACAAAAAAGTTGAATCATACATGTCAAAATATAACGTCTATAATAATCAGCAAAATGGAGAAGATGGTGAGTTGAAACAATCAGATGAAGAAGATAATGAACAAATAACGGATGAAAAACTGGCGACTTACGCAACACTAATGAAAACCATAAGAAAAAAATTTAACAAAAAGTCATCTTCGAATATAATAACATTTGACAATAGTTCCGGTGGAAAAATATCGAAACGTAAAAGAAGACGACACAAAAAACAACAACAAGTAAATGGTGATGAAATTGAGAAAACGAACAAATAGAATTTTTGAGAATAGTTTTTTCAATTATAGTTACTGTTTGATCTTTAACTTAATTTTGTGTTAAAGAGTCTTTTTGTGTTATGCCTGTTTTTCTTAGTTTTCTGCTTTTTACACTTCAGATGCTCATAAGTTTATTTTTGTTGGTTTCTTGATTGGCATAAGAATGAAGTTGAATCTTGTTTACTTTGAGAGGTCTAGATGTTTTAACAGGAGAAAATACTTCATCCAAGTAGACAGATACTTTTACTCGAAGACTTTTTGATTTATCACCAGGTTCTTTTGTTCTAGTTAGCCTTGCTGTACGTAGTTTAATGATTCAATAGTATTTACTCGTTTTGATGATATGTTGATTTGAATTTCTAGATTTTATTCTTTCGTCACTATTGTTTTGTGATACTTACGAAAAAAGGTTTTCCAAATGAATAAGTCAAATTACGCTTGAGTAAAAAACATGACATCTAGTAGTTCTGTTCCCAAATCCAATGATCTCAAGAATAGTAACTATCAAATGATAATCGATAATGATTTAGCGACGCTGTTAGAATCGTTACCCTCTTTTTCGTCACATAATTCTAATAATGAAGAAGAAACTGAATCAGGTGTGTTTTTAAATCTTCAATATGATCAAGAACAATCCATCGAGGAGGGAAAACTAACATCAACTGGCTTGATTAGCGAAATTATTCTACAATCGCCAGTGCCAGATACCGTAAGATTTGTTGTTGTTTTTTATTAGTAAAATCGCATTAGCAATTAAACTGGTTTAGCTGAAATGGAACGGAACTGATTTTTAAATTAAAGCCAGCTGTTAAGATGATTTTTTTTCTCTTGATCTTAAAAAATATTTTTCTAGTGCTGTAGGTTGATGATGAAGGCGCATCAAATAACACAAGTTATCCTTCAGTTAATAAACTCGTATATTCTACACAACCAAGAATGGACGATGAGCAATCAATAATAACAACCACAACGTCCTCAAATGAACATAATATATCTAAGCACCAAAACGATACAAGAGATATTGAAGAAAGTTTTACGGAAGATGATTATGAACACATATTGAAAAGTGATGTTAAACATATTTTTATTTTAAGCGATAATGGAAAACCAGTTTTCACCAGGTAAGTGCGTGAGTGCTCATTTTTTTCTCTTTAAACATATATTTTTTAATTAGATATGGCGACGAAGAAAAACTGTTAACATTGATGGGAGTCATGCAATCATTGATATCATTCGCTGAAATTTATAATCATAATCAATTAAATTATATTAAAGCTGGACGTAGTCGTGTCGTTTTCTTACACAATAAACCATTGATATTTATTTTAGTAACACGTTTAAATGAAAATTATAGTTGTTTATTACAACAACTAAACTATTGTTATTATCAAATAATAAGTACTCTGACATTGAGTCGAATCAAACATAAATTTGAAGCACAACCAAACTTTGATTTAAGACGATGGTTATCAAATGCTGAAAAAAAATTGTTACACAATATCATCGACATGTATGAAACAGATCATGGGATGATGATGTCATGTGCAAAATGTCTTATTATGCCATTAAATATTAGAAGTCAAATTGGTTTGGTCATGGCACAAACAATACGTGGACAAAAGGTATACTTTGCTTATGTTAAATGGTCTCAAAGTCTTGCATACGTTTTGCCATACTTACATAGGGATTAGCATCATTTAAATTTGTCTTCAACATATAGCGTGAATCGTAGCAAAATTTTCGACAGTGTCAGCGCCGTTATTTTCTCTGCTTGGGGTTATATAGATATTCTTTCTTATTTAGGATATGATATTTGCAATTATACTTGCACACGGCCATCTTGTCTCGATTGCACGGTTAAAACAGTATCATTTACATCCGTCTGATTTACATTTATTGATTAATCTTGTGAATAGTTCAGATGCATTTAAAGACGTAGAAGCATGGGTACCTGTTTGTTTGCCACGTTTCGATTCAGGGTGTGTGCGTGTGTGTGCCTGTGTGTACATTTATTGTTTTATCTCATTTTCTAATTCATATAACTTTTTTTTGCTTTAGTGGCTGTTTACATACCCATATATCATATTTAGACGATGCCTGTGATGTATGTCTTATCTTAATGACAGTAAATGCCGAAAACTTTCACATATTATCCGATTTCAAACAAACAATTACTGATGTAAGTTATATCGTAGATATTTTCAGTATAACAACTAGCAATTTTCTATTTTTTGTTAATGTAGAAATTAAAGAAAAACGGCTTAATCGGTCAAATCAAAATAGCGTTAGTACGCGATAGAGGGCTTTCTGATGAAATTGGCTGTAATCAATTACGTTATTTTGCCTATAAATCACGTGGTTTAAGTCAGTATACATGCTCAAAATTATTAGCACCATATACTACGAAAGAGCAACAGATTCGATTATTCGATCTGATACGTTATATTTACGGACGATTGCATGATCCAAATCATCAATTGAAAATTATTTATTATGCTGCTGAATATGAATCTTTACTGGGTTGGGTAAGTATTCTATTTAAGATCAGGTAGCCATTTGTTAAAAATCAGCAATCTGAACAAATCTTCTATTTTTAATAATTTCTGTTGAATTTTTTAGCTTGCACCCGGTTTTGAATTGCATGTTGTCTTTTCACCTATGGTTACATTAGATACAGTGACATCTTGTATTGATCGTATATTAGCTTATATAAAACGAGAAGAAGGCCAACTATTTATAATGAAATGTGAATATTTTTGAATTAAACAAGTTAACCATAGTTAATATGCTACATCATGATTTTTACGAGCTATTTTCTTTCATTCAGTGGAATTTCTATCTAATACAGATTAGTTTTTTTTGGGTATAGTATAATTTGACAAAGTGTTCAAATAACCTCAAATGTGATTTTCTGCCATAGATTTTTGTTTATTTTCTATCTATGTTGTTTGTTTGTGTGCAATCTCTTCCGATTTGATACTGTTAATATGAAACGTGGTTCTTGAACTTCAAACATTATTGACTTGGCAGACCGTAAATATGTAGTTTTCGTTTAGCGCTTAAACTATTAAGCTTTTTGTTTTTTCATTTATTTGCTTTTCTTTCATGTTTTCACTCCAGTAAATTATGATTAGTGTTACAGTGCTAGACGGTTAGTTCGACTAATCTTTTTCCAACGGCTCATTAGTTGGTAGATTATTTTTTACGTCTCTGGAATCTATTTAATCTGGTGGTGCCAGCAAACAAATCGTCAAGATCAACTCCTGGTACATTCCTATTTGAGTAGGGCTTGGTAGTTAAATAGAATCAAGCATGTTTTATTTTCCTTGAGCAAAGAAGACCTGTGTTTACAAAACTTTGATAACAACCTTCTAATGATCGAGTCTTCTAATGCTTGAGTTTGCTTCTTAATCCAAAACCATTACTGTTTAGTAAATGGGCGCATTTTTCTTATTCGATTTACTTTCAGATGTCGGCAACTCCTGTAAAAGAGCAAGATCTTGCTCAAATATCAAATTTTTTGCAATCAAATTGGACAAAAGTAATTAATTTAGATCCAAAGTTGGTAAGGAAGAGATGAAATTTCTTTGAAACGTATACTTATTTTTCATATTTTGATAACAGATCAGTTATTTTAAAAGCAAAAAGATTACGCCGCCATCATTCGAAGATGTATGCACATGGAATATAGAAAATAATAAAAGGTAGCAAGAATCATAGAAAAGATTGCCGTTAACTGCATCTATACTATTTGTAGAAAACGAAAATTATCCGAAAATGATGACGTTACTAGTGGGAAAAAAAGCAAACTATCAAATGGGTAAGCTGATTTTACTTTTACAGAAATGAAATTTATATTTTAAATACCTCACTTTTTTTATTTAGTACTGCTACAAATCAATCAAACTCTCAGCAGACAACAGCTACAAAACAACCAGTAACAAATAAGAGATCGAAAAGCACAAGTAGTGATTCATCAGATGATGATGAGGAAACGAATAAAAAACAAATAAACTCTTCATTTAAAGGTAAGCAAAAACACTTTTCTTCCATTTATCTAACTGCGGATACCTCCAATTTCTTTATAGGTCAACCAATAAAACCTAACCTTTCTGTCACAAAGCAAAACGCCATATCACAGCAACAACAACGACAGATAAAGACTACAGTCAGTACGTCGAGTGATGATTCGTCTTCTGATGATGCGAAGAAGAAAGCAGCAAAAAAAGTGCCTACACCTCTAGTGAATAAAACGCCAATAGGGCAAGCTCAAACTAAACCACAACAATCGTCATTGGCAAAAAAACCGAAATCGAGTTCAGATGATTCGTCGAGTGATGAAGATGAAAAGAAAAAGAAACAATCACCTCAAAAAGTGATACCAGCTACTTCAGCTGCTTCGAAAACTGTGTTACCAACCAAACAGTTGAAGAAAGAAAGTGACGATTCTTCGAGCGATGATTCAGATGACGAAGCAGCAAAGAATAAAAACAAGTCACTGAATAAATCAGTGGCACCAGCTCGACAGCAGCAAACAAAGCCTGCTGTCATTGCCAAAAAGTCGGTATCAAGTAGTAGTAGTGACGATTCGTCGAGTGATGATAAAAATAAGAAAGTTCAACCTACAACAGTAAAATTAACTGCTGCAGCTCCCGTTCAAAGAAAACAAATTCCGACTAGATCATCGATAAATTTAGGTGGTAAGAAGAGTAGCAGTAGCGATGACTCGTCAGAAGAGGACACAAAAAGTAAAAATGCCAAACAACAAAAAACTGCAGGTAAACTGTTGGGCAAATCTAGAAAATAAATATAAAACGGAAACTTTAGATCATATCAAGCTATTTTGTAGGTTAGATTGCTCTCAGAATTAATTAATGGGAGGATTTCTTTGCACTATGATGAAACCTGTACATATAATGACACTTGTGTGAAGCAAATCTGAAAAGTATTATGAGATAGTACTGAAGTTTCTTTGTCTGATTTAAGAAAAACAGAAAGAGGCGTTCAAAAATCCGCTTCACTCAATACGAGTAACTAGTTCTTGATGGTTCATTCCAGGACGAATTGTTTGATCTCTTATTTTTTAGAAATCGCTGGATATAAACCACCAGCAACAGCGATAACTTTGAAGACAAAACCGACACTAACACCACAGTTGAACAATAAGAAAAAACCCGAAACGAGTGATAGTAGTGAAGATTCAACGACCAGCGAAGACGAAAAGAAACAACAACAACCACAGCAAAAGTCGATTCCAGCCGCTTCATCTGTGTCAAAATCAGTTTTGCCAACAAAACAAACGAAAAAGGATGATTCAAGCGATGATTCGTCAGATGACGCAACTGTCAAAAATAAAAATAAATTACTCAATAAATCATTGCCGTCAGTTCAGAAACAACAGCAAGAAAAAGCTGTTAAACCTGCTACCATCAAAACATCGAAACCAAGCAGTAGCGAGAGTGATTCATCCGATGACGACAAAAAGGCAAAAGCAGTAACGGCAAGTCAAATGAATAAACAAACCCCTCTTCAAACAAAACAACTGTTAAACAAATCAGGAGCAAAACAAATAAGTAGCAGCAGTGATAGTTCATCGTCAGATGAAGATAGCAAAGGAAAAAATAAGGCGCAAAAAACGACGAATGATAAAAGTAAGACGATATTCTAATTCTTTTATTTTAGAAGAACAGTAACATATCTTTTTAACTATCAAAATTCTTCAATTATTGACTACCCACTAAAGCTTTTTTTATTCTGTATTTTAGAACCAGGGGGAAAAACTTTTGCATCGTCGACTCCTATCATAAAACCGTCTGTTATTCAACAACAACAACAACGACAGATAAAGACTACAGTCAGTACGTCGAGTGATGATTCGTCTTCTGATGATGCGAAGAAGAAAGCAGCAAAAAAAGTGCCTACACCTCTAGTGAATAAAACGCCAATAGGGCAAGCTCAAACTAAACCACAACAATCGTCATTGGCAAAAAAACCGAAATCGAGTTCAGATGATTCGTCGAGTGATGAAGATGAAAAGAAAAAGAAACAATCACCTCAAAAAGTGATACCAGCTACTTCAGCTGCTTCGAAAACTGTGTTACCAACCAAACAGTTGAAGAAAGAAAGTGACGATTCTTCGAGCGATGATTCAGATGACGAAGCAGCAAAGAATAAAAACAAGTCACTGAATAAATCAGTGGCACCAGCTCGACAGCAGCAAACAAAGCCTGCTGTCATTGCCAAAAAGTCGGTATCAAGTAGTAGTAGTGACGATTCGTCGAGTGATGATAAAAATAAGAACGTTCAACCTACAACAGCAAAATCAACTGCAACAGCTCCCGTTCAAAGAAAACAAATTCCGACTAGATCATCGGTAAGATTAGGTGGTAAGAAGAGTAGCAGTAGCGATGACTCGTCAGAAGAGGACATGAAAAGTAAAAATACCAAACAACAGAAAACTGCAGGTAAAACGTTGGGCAAATCTAGAAAATAAATATTAAACGGAAACTTTAGATCATATGGAAAAATCAAACAATAGTTGATAGAATGGTATATTTTGTCTTTTTATACGGATGTTTTTTTGTGTAAGCGTTAAACGGTTAATAGAGATAGTGTATGTGTCTTTTTCGTGCTATGTTTACAAAAAGTTAACAAATTTGTAATCGTTTGTTTTTGCGCTAAATGTTTTGAAATAAAAGGACATTTTAAAAAAATCAGTTTCTTAATGAGTGGCGGGTTGCATAGAATGTTTAATCTAATAAAAAATCTCTTCTTTATCTTAAGAACAAGTCACTGGAAGAAATGAGCTGTAATGAAAGAAGAGTAAAACAGCATTTTAACTAGTCTTTTAGCTTAATTTTTTAATCCATTGTAATGATTTGCGTCACATTTTAGATTAATATATTTTCAGACTGTATTATGGGTTCAACTTAGCGTTGTGTTAGAATAATAAAGTTTATATCTAGAAATATGCCGTTATCAGCTGCACTCCAAGCACGTCTATTACAACGTGGAATTTTAAATGCGTCAAATATAAATGGTATGGTAAGAATGTTTCCTATTACACATGACAGTAAATTGCGAATTGTAGGAAATTTAGAATCTGATGTTGGCAACGATCATTCTGACGTTCAAGAAGAAGTAATAGCTGAAAGCTATGACGAACGTGAAGAACACAATGCTAAGGTTTGCTTCAAAAAAATTTTTATTTTGCATATATATATAGTTGAATACAAAGTATTATTCATTCCTAGCATGATGAAAGTGTTGATTCTGGAATTGCATTGGAAGAATGCATTAACTGCCCGAACAGAAGCAATCCTTATCATGAATGTGTTGATTATTGTAAAAAAAGGTAATAAAAATACAAAATTTCCACTACATACACTAATAGTTGTACTTCTTTTTTTCAGATATGGATTCAAACGATACAGTATGAATTTTATATCTAATCACTAGTATGTATAAAATAAGTCAAATGTTGTTTATTTTAGCGCCTGATCCCGAAACTGATAGACGACGACGAAAAATGTTGAAAAGATATCCCTTATCAGAAAACTGGAGAGAAGTTCCTGATGCTAGCACGTAGGTTTAAGAAAGGAGCATGCAAAAATTTTATCCGTGTCTATTGTTGTTCTGTTTTTCAGGGATAGATGTTATTATTGGAATACCGAAACAGATGAAGTTTCTTGGTTACCTCCGGATCATCCACGATCATTTATTACAGTATCAGCGATTAAAATAAAACGTTCGTATTAAAAAAAGTTCAATTATTCAAAATATTAAATTATTGTCTTTTTTTAGGAAAAGAATGTGAAACTAAATCGCTGGAATCAAGTCGTTCGAAGAAGAAAATGACAGTTGAGGTGAGTATTTTTCATGAAATATAACTGTTTGATTAATAGCTATTTGACGTATATTTTTTTTGTAGGATGCATTTGGTGATGAGACGGATTCAGAAGAAGAAGAGATGAATTCGGCTTTGAAATTAAAACGAAAAGTTGCCGGAAAGCTACTTAATTATGATCGTGATCCAATGGATCCATCATCATATTCTGATATACCAACTGGTACATGGGCTGCTGGTCTTGTTGTTAAAGGAAAAGCAAAAACGGGTGTTGATGAAACAGCAGCAGGTCCTCTATTTCAAATGCGACCCTATCCAAGTCCAGGCGCTGTTCTTAAGCTAAATGCTGAATCTGTAAAACCAACCAAGAAGAAAAAATTAGTGAATAATTGAAGATTATTGTATTTGTATGGCAACGATTTGGTTTTTTAAACGTCAACTTCATAAACGAAGTGATTTATGTGTAAATATAGTCAGTCGTTGTGTAATTTGTTCACAAAGACTTTTGTATTCTGTTGTTATTTAAAATGAAAATAAATATGAATAAAGTCGCTCTCACTTTACAGAGGGAGTATTATATATTTTTAGAATAAAGCTATTAGGCGCAAAAATGTTTGCTAACGTCTAAAAATGCATATAAAAACGGGAGATCTTTTCGTCAATGATCGTAAGATCAGAAGAAAGAAAAGAAACGTATTGTATAATTTATGAGTAAATCTAATGTTAAATTTATTTGGAAACTTCATCTATTGATGCACTTATATACACGATTGTTTGATCAAACTTCATCATATAATAACTTCATATTATTCAGATTTTTCGAGATCATTATTACACAATTAGCTTTTTCACGAAAACTATAGTATAAGACTGTAACGGGTTTGGTTTCATAAATGTGCCTTCTTTCAAACAGAATAGCTTAAGTATTGTCTATTAAAAAGGATACATTGAGTAAATTATGTGTGGATAAAGCATTTTTTTGATAAAAGAAGATTTCTTGTATTATACTAAATCTGAATTTGGCTTTCTATTTATAATTAGAATTTGCATTGATTAGTCACGATATTATAACACTGTTGTGAGTGTTCATCACAAGTTGAGATAACCTTCCAATGTATAACAAAAGTTTCAGCAGATATTTTTTTTATTTTTAAAGTCGCGTTTACGCATAATTACCGTTTCTGTTGATGCGTTGTCAAGTTAGTAATTTTTCTTTCTTCCATTCTTTCTCTGTTTCTTTCGTTCTGTATCCTTTTCATTTCTGGTTACAACCTTAGCATAAAATTTCAAATTATGCAGTTTGTAGTTTATAGATAGTCATAATCATTTCTTTTCTTTGTCATACCATACTTATAGCAAAACAACAGATTTTGAATAGTAATCTTGAATGGAAAATAAAAAGAACATAATACTAAATGTCTAATCCATTACGTCCAAGGCGTCCTGTTGCAACACCAGATTTGGGTAAGGTAAAAATACGTGTTGGTAGAAATGCGAAGATTAATCATGATCCAGCTATAAAGCGTCCAAATTTTCGCGGATATTCTCGTATTCAATTAGAACCAATTCATCAAGAATTTAAACCACTAGAAGAAAAGAATGATATTGAAATAAAACAACATCAGTTACTTCGGCATGGAGATTCTACCGATGTTTATAATGATAATAATAACAACCATGGATATTCTGATGAAAAACATAAGAACGACGTACATGAAGACGAAAATCAAAATGAGATTCCTGCAGATAATTCTTTAGTCCAACGTAACAATGATATTCCAACAATAGTTGAACAATTTTGGTCTCAACTACGACAACATATTGCATCACAAACAACAAAAAATGATAATTGGAATCATGGCTTACAAAAGACAAATAACAAAGTTGTTCGTGTTTTTGTATCATCAACATTTACAGATTTTTTTAATGAACGTGAAGTATTAATTAAAAAAGTACGTTTAAAGTTGTTTTCATGATAGTAGAAGTGCAACAGAAATATTTTACTCTATTTCTGTCTATACTGAACTTTTATTAAAAAAGTTTTTTTTATGCTATTAAGGTATTTCCCGCGTTACGTGAAAATTTGGAGCCATGTGGTATTCAATTAATTGATTGCGATCTAAGATGGGGGGTATATACTTTTATTTTTGTTTAAACGAGAGATAATCGAAAAAATGTACTTATTTCAGGTACCCAAAGATTCAACAACTGAACAAACGATTCTTGCATGTCTTGAAGAAATTGATAGATGTTTTGAAGATAATGGTCAGCCATTCTTCATTGGATTGATTAGCGAAAAGTAAGATGAAGATTTTACGTTTTTTTTAAAATTTTTATGTTAAAGAATATAAATCTATTAAGATCTATTTTCGAAAATATGCATTAGGTAAGTATTTTAAGCTATTGCGAGCTCATCTACATGGAAAGTTCTAGCTTCGAAGTTTGTACATAACAGCATGTAAATACAAAACGAACAGACTAATATATTTGTTCACTCAAATAGCTTTGGATTTTTTTTTCAGATACGGATGGGTGCCCGACAAAGAAGAATTGCCAAAAAGCATCAGCAAACGTTATGATTGGATTCATGGTGCATCGATAACACTAATGGAATTCATTCACGGCGCATTTCGAACAAACAATCCAAACGCTTGTTATCTTGTAAGAAACTCGAATGCATTAACAAATGTTCCAGAAAAATACAAAGCAAAATTTTTTGAAAAAGACGCCTATGGTCAACATCAAGTGCAGGTAGATGAATGGAGGATGAACTTTACTCAAGAAGTTGTACGAAATTTTTTGATTAAAGGAATTAAAAAATCAATTGAAAGATCTCTATCCAAATCAAGTTTTTGATTATGATGGTACATATAGTGGTCTCGAAACAACAGAAGGACGTGAACGAGTGGGTAGTATAAAAAGGAATTCGTTTAGTAATGATTTAATTGTAAAAATTCCAATTTAGGTGAAAATTTCTGGTTTACAAGAGTTTGAAAAGCGTGTATTTACATTTCTGACAAAAGCCATTGAGGACTGGTATCCAAGTAGTTTTGAAAAAGAACGTTCCACAGATGTTCAAATAACCGGTAAGTTTTAAATATAAAGACAATTTTTAGATGAGAATAATCAATCGTTAAAATTTCTTAGATCCTAGACGATATTGACTTTCTTTTGTTTTCGCCAAAGAATATGCTTTTCAGGTGAGAATTATTCGTAAGATACCAGTGGTCGTCGTGTGACGAGGATCCTATGAGGCGAGACAAAAATTTTCAAAGTATCCCTGAAATAGAACGGGACGGCCCCAGCGTCAAAAAAAAATATGGTATCGCCCGATTCATCTAGATTATTAGATTTTTACTCGGTTGCAACTATTAGGTAATGACAGTGGAAATCTAGTAATTGAGCGACTGCTAGATTTCTTCTAGTTGCAACTATCGATTTAACTATTGCTAGTTACACACGCAGACACATCTGGTTAAAGTCCCTTTTCCAACTAGTAATCTAGATGGCAACTAGTCCCCCGATTACAGACGAAAGGTATCTAGATTTTTCCCATAGGTGATGTTTGTTTGAGGGGCTGGACGCAAAGAAGTCTGTCGGATTTCAAAAGTATCTTGAACCCATGATTCATAAACCAGATTTTGTACAGCTCTCAGCGCCGGATCTAGAGTGTATTGGGTTGATTCCTAGTGGTTACTGAGATCGGAGTACCCTAACGAATTTGATGCTGAATGGATCGGGCGTAAGAGCAAAGGCCTGGGCTTCGTAACGAAGTACAACAAAATATTTTTTTATCCAGGTTTTTGTAGAGCGACTCTACAATTTTATTGCTTCATCGACATTAGCATTTATACCATACAGACACCAAATGCGCAAAATCCCACTTTTCAACATACGATAGTTTTCTAGAAGACCTCTAGAAAACCATTCGGCAACCATTTAGTATTTTTAGATTATGACGATGGTAGCACATAATTAACATAACAAATGTATATTTTGGAAACTTCAAGTACTGGGCGTATTTCTAAAGAGATTTTTGAAGGATCGGCTTTTCGTTGCATCAAATGAAGAGGACGAAAAACATAAAATGGTTCTGAAAATCTGTTTTTCAATACCAGTCAAATTTAAATCGCACATTTTTTCAAAATTCAATTCTCTACAAAACTATCTTTGATTCGGGTAGTGAATATCTGTCTTTCCAGAAATAGCCTTCCTTCAGATCCTTATAGGCTTCGTTGAGTACCCTTAATGCTTAGGAGTGGCACTTTACCTTTACTTTACTAGTAACTAGTAACGAGATTAGTTACTCGTTACCAGTAACCAAGTAACTAGTGCAGTTACTCGTTACTAGTAACCAAGTAACTAGTGCAGTTACTCGTT